GCGTGTGAAGAGGGGGAGAGAGCACTCAGTGTGCTATTACTGTTTGTTTTGGTTTTATTTTGCTCTTACACACTTGTGCCTTCTTTTTCCTCTCAGTGCCTGGGGGATGGGGAAGTGAACCTCCTCGGTCTGAGGAGGTGGAGTGGAGGCCTTTGTTTTAAAACCAGGGTTCTGATTACACCTGACAGGGCTGAAACTCGATTCCCACAAAGCTTTCCCGGCACCTTATCTTCTTCCACCAGTGACGATTACAGCAGGAATGCAGCACGAGTTGTCACTTTGATTCCGTTTGTATACTGCTGTGTATGATAACACAAGCAAGAGTTCATTTTTTTTCTCTTGAAATTAGCTCCAGGGGGAATTCTCCCTTCCCTCTTTTCTTCTATAGGTCCACATGGCGAGTTTTCTTCTCAAGGCTAAATCTTAACATTCCTGGCTGAGATTCTCATAGTTCGGAAATGATCACATTTAATAAAAAGCCTGCCTGAGAAAAAGCCCCACATCACCTGAGCTGGGGCAATGATTTTGTGGTATTTGGATTCATGTCTGTAAAAATATTTGGACACCAGATGGTGGATTGTTAGGCGCATTCATCCTAAACCAAAAGTTAAAAAAAATTCGCACACACAAAACACAGCGGGAGGGAAAGAGCATCATTAGTTTCTTTTCCAGTCATGTTGCATGAGTAATGGTGGAAGCACCAGCTAAAACAATAAGATTACTGTGTTGAATTCTTAATGCTTTGTCAGGAATAAGGATTTCAAGTAGTGCTGAAAAGGTTTTCTCCCTCTGAATAACGCATACCTTAAGTACAACTCACTTTGACAACTTACCAAGTGTACACATTTTCTAGAAAACAAAATCATGCTGCTGGTGGAGAAAGCTATATGGGTAACCCATCTCCCACACGGGACTGGATTGGGAAGGAGCCAAATTAAACACTAAACCAATAGCCTGGGGCCTCAGTCATTAATCCAAAGTGACTTTTTCTCTGCAGGTCGATTTTGTTTTCAACAGTCAATTCTCAACTATCTATTCCAGTGGGTGGGGAGGCATAGGATGAATAAACCAAAACAGGATAATAGAAAACTAAATTTATATGTAACTGTGGAATGTCTGAGATGTTTGTGGGAGGGTTGTTATTTATGTCACACAGTGGTCATGCTCCATGGGGCTGTCCCTTCGTTGTGTGTTTGAACAAACGTGTTTTCTGAAGGAAATTTGGCCCTTGCCTATGGCTAACCTCAGTCTGCCTCTTTACAGAGGTAGACCTACACAGGCACATGGCCTGGTTAGGAACCTTCATTTTCACAAGGGGATTCCAAGCTCTTAGGTGTAGACCTGCATTTAATCAGAAACACAGAGTTTCAACATCTTAGGTCCCTGCCAGACAATTTATCTTTGACTGCTCTGCTGCTTGATTCTTACTGAAGCTCGACTGGAGAAAACAAAATCTAGGGAAGGATGCAGTCCGTTGTTTCTTTTAGATATTTTTTTACTTTATGCCTGGATCTAATCAGATAATTAAGGATCTTCATATTTGAACTACACCATTTTGTTCCCTCACAGAACTAGGTTTTCAAGGACTTTGCTTGGCTGTTACACCCTAAGTTGAGGCTCTTTGAGAAACACTATAAGAAACGTCTATTGGAAACTCACTTGCTTTAAATGTTATTCATGACTTTAGTGTCCATTTTGAAGACGCGTGGGAGAAATTTCTTTCAGGTCTCAAGTCTTCTGAGCTCCTGGTGTGTATCTTACAAAACCTCGTGAATCCTATGACTGGTCTGGTTCCTTCGTTGCTCAGAGCCACATTTGTGGGCTCTCTATAGTAACCGCTCGAATCCTTGTGGTTAGAATTGCTGTGTAGTGGCATTATTTCTTGCTTCACTTTACCATCTTTTTCTCTTGGCTCTGCTTTATCTCTTTAGTTTCAATTATATTGCATGATTTTGATGAGTCAACTAAGATGCATCTGGAAAGGAGGCAGGGATGAAATGGATACACATCATTCTTATGGCATTTCCCGAGCAAGCGTCGATGAGAAAATACCCCTGGAGACACCTCCAAAAGTAGGAGTGATTATGGGGGAGAACTCAAACATGTTTCAATTACCCCAGGTAATTGAGAATTTGATACGCAATGACAACTATTTTTAATTAATTTGACCAAGGAACAGAGGAAATTGAAGGACATGTTGATCTCAGACTTGAGGAAGAAGAAGCAGACACTCTCTGTTGTTTAGGACTCTCCGGCTGAGGAAACCAGGACTCACAAGAATTAGGAAGGTACCATGTGACCCTTCACTGGGTGGGAAATGTTCCTGAAAGAGCCCATCTGGGCTGAGGGCTGAAACCAAGGCCTGTTTCATCTGGAGGAAGGTGTTACTCTGATGAAAGAGTAAGGCAGGGAGGGAATTCATTCCCATAACACAGTGGAATGCTTCATACCTTTTTTTTTTATTGAGGTTATGACAGTTTACAACATTGTGAAATTTCAGTTGTACATTTTTATTTATCAGTCACCACATAGGTGTACCCCTTCACCCTTTGTGCTCACCCCTTGCCCCCTTGCCCCCGTTAACCACTAAATAGTTCTCTTTGTCCATGTGTTTGTTTATCTTCCACATATGAATGAAATCATACAGTGTTTGTCTTTCTCTGTCTGACTTATTTTGCTTAACATAATACCCTCAAGGTCCATCCATGTTGTTGCAAATGGGACAATTTTGTCATTTTTTATGGCTGTGTAGTATTCCATTTTATGTACATACCACATCTTCTTTATCCAATCATTAGTCAACGGGCACTTGGGTAATGCTGCAATGAATATAGGGGTGCATAAGTCTCTTTAAATTGTTGATTTCAGGTTCTTTGGATAAATACCCAATAGTGGGATGGCTGGGTCATATGGTATTTCTATTTTTAGTTTTTTAGAAATCTCCATGCTGTTTTCCATAGTGGCTGAAACAATTTGCATTCCCACCAGCAGTGTATGAGGGTTCCCTTTTGTCCACTACCTCTCCAACATTTGTTATTTGTTGTCTTTGTTATTATAGCCATTCTAACGGGTGTAAGGTGATATCTTAGTGTAGTTCCTATTTGCATTTCCCTGATGATCAGTGATGTTGAGCATCTTTTCATTTGCCTATTGGCCATCTGTATTTCTTCTTTGGAGAAATGTCTGCTCATATCCTCTGCCCATTTTTCGATTGGGTTGTTTGATTTTTTGTTGTTGAGTTGTGTGAGTTTATATATTATGAAGATTAACCCCTTGTTGGATATACGATTTACAAACATTTTTTTCCAGCTGGTGGGTTGTCTTTTCATTTCAATTCTGATTTCCCTTGCCTTGTAAAAGTTCTTTAGTGTAATGAAGTCTCACTTGTTTATTTTTTCTTTTGTTTCCCTTGTCCGAGCAGACATGGTGTTCTGAAAGATCCTTTTAAGACCAATGTCAAAGAGTGTATGGCCTATATTGTCTTCTAGAAGTTTTATGGTTTCAGGTCTTACCGTCAAGTCTTTGATCCATTTTGAGTTTATTTTTGTGAATGGCGTAAGAGAATGGTCTACTTTCATTCTTTTACATGTGGCTATCCAGTTTTCCCAATACCATTTATTGTGGAGACTTTCCTTTCTCCATTGATTGTTTTTAGCTCCTTTGTTGAAGATTAGCTGTCTATAGATGTGTAGTTTTATTTCTGGGCTTTCAATTCTATTCCATTGATCTGTATGCCTGTTTTTGTACCAGTACCATGCTGTTTTGATTACTATAGCTTTGTAGTATATTTTGAAATCAGGGATTGTGATACCTCCAGCTTTGTTCTTTTTTCTCAGGATTGCTTTAGCAATTCTATTTTGTTGCCCCATCTGAACTTTAGGATTCTTTGTTCTATTTCATCGGGATTCTGATTGGGATTGCATTGAATCTGTAGATTGTTTTAGGTAGTATGGACATTTTAATTATGTTTATTCTTCCAATCCATGTGCATGGAATGTCTTTCTATTTCTTTGTGTCATCATCAATTTCTTTCAGTAAAGTCTTGTAGTTTTCGTTATATAGGTCTTTCACTTCCTTGGTTAAACTTATTCCAACATATTTTCTTCTTTTTCTTGCCATTGTCAACGGGATTGTGTTCTTGAGTTCTCCTTCTGTTAGTTTGCTATTAGAGGATAGAAATGCAACTGATTTTTTTAAGTTGATTTTGTACCCTGCAACTTTGCTGTAATTGTTGACTATTTCTAATAGCTTTCCAATGGATTTTTTAGGGTTTTATATATATAAAATAATGTCTTCTGCAAACAGTGAGAGTTTCACTTCTTCATTGCCTATTTGGATTCCTTTTATTTCTTTTCCTTGCCTAATTGCTCTGGCCAAAACCTCCAGTACTATGTTGAATAAGAGTGATGAGAGTGGGCATCCTTGTCTCCTTCCTGCTCTCAGAGGAACAATATTCAGTTTTTCCCCATTGAGTATGATGTTGGCTGTGTGTATGTCACATATGGCCTTTATTATGTTGAGGTACTTTCCTTCTATATCCATTTTATTGAGAGTTTTTATCATAACTGGATGTTGGATCTTCTCAAATGCATCTATTGAGATGATCATGTGGATTTTGTTCCTCATTTTGTTAATGTGGTGTATCACGTTGATTGATTTGTAGATGTTGAGCCACCTCTGTGTCCCTGGTGTAAATCCCACTTGATCATGGTGTATGATCTTTTTAATGTATTGCTGTATTTGGTTTGCCAATATTTTGTTGACTTTTGCATCTATGTTCATCAGTGATATAGGCCTGCAATTTTCCTTCTTTGTGTTGTCCTTGTCTGGCTTTGGTATCAGGGTGATGTTGGCCTTGTAGAATATGTTAGGAAGTGTTCCATCTTCCTCAATTTTCTGGAATAGTTTGAGAAGGACTGGTATTAAATCTTTGAATGTTTGGTAGAATTCTGCAGAGAAGCCATCTGGTCCTGGACTTTTATTTTTGGGGAGGTTTTTGATTACTGTTTCACACACCTCTTTTTTCTCCTTGTTTCTACATTATTATTATGATGATGCTTAAATTTAAGCAAACCATGACTTGATCCCTATATCTCCTCTTGATAATGAAGCTTATTTATGAAGATAAAGTTTCTCAAATACATTCAATGCTGTGCCTGGCACTGAGGATAAAAGAACAAGTCAGAATCCCTGTCCTCAACAAGCTTACTCCTTTTTAGCCCTTTCTGTTTGCTCATTTATTTAAACAGTATTTCTTGCGTATCTGAAGGGAGGGCAATAGGAATAATTGTGAGAGGTCACCTAAGTTACGATGAGTTGGGGAACAAAGCATGCCTACCTGAGGAGATGGCATTAAGATGGAGACCTGAAGAACAAGAAGATGGTCCAGGGACCAGGAAAGTGGAGGGAGAATGCTAAGCTGATGGAACAGTGTGTGCAAACCCTGACGTGGGAAAGAGGTGGCTGCGGTGGCTGGAGAGCAGTGAGAGAGGGCCAGGGTGCATGAGAGGCGGTAACAAGGTACCAGGTGAGGTCACGCTATAGGAAGGCATTTCTTCTTCTCCCAGATCCCCTGGTGGCCCAATCCTTCACCTCCTCCAAGTCTTTGCTGCAGCCACCTTCTCAGTTAGGCCCACCCTGACCATCTTATTTAAATTGTAATAGCTCCCTCACTCCAATTAGTTTCCTTTGCACCTATCACCTTCTAGCACAAGATAATACATGATTTGTTTATTATGTTTCTTATTTGTTCCCCACCCCACCACCCCTCTTCCATAAGCTTCAGGAAGGCAGGAATTTTTATCTTTTTTGTTTACTGGTGTTTTCCTAACTTCTTGAACAGGGCCTGGCCTGTGGCAGGTAATCAATGGCTGTCGAATGGAACTAAATTGAAAGGCAATGAATGTTTTAAGCATGGATGTGACTTTATCTCATTTATATTTCTGAAAGATAACTCTGGATGCGGACTGAAAAGAATGCTTTAAATCCAAAAGACACCTTTCTGCATCGTTCTGCTTCAACTTCAGAATCTCAAATGAAGACTTTGCTAAGAAGATGGTAAGGTTCTTTCCTTTCCTTTTTGAATCACCCAGGTAGAGAGAGAAACAACGTGGGTGTTATGGAAGCTTTAGGCCCATGGGCGTGAGCCACAGAAGGAAAGCCAACCACTCTCCCAAGTCAGGTCAGGCCAGAAGCACACGCTGTGTGTTTTTACCAACAAAGCCCCAGAGAACTGGATCAGTTAAATGACAAGTTACAAAAGGTGTGTTTGTGTCTTGATTCTCCTCGCTAGGACTTGCTACTGCCTTGAGGAAGAAACTGTTTACATTTCATATCAGTTTTTTTTTATTTAATTTTCAGTTTTCGCTCAAAAGCAAAGCAATTTGTACTGGTTAACTCTTTTTAAAGAAGTCTGTTGAAAGAAGTTGCCTCAGGATGGGGTACTGTACTCCATTAAGAGGAGATTTATTGGTTACACAGGCTTAGAAAGCCTGCTCTAGGCTGATTCAGTCTTTTGACAAATATTTATTGAGCATTTTCTATGTGCCTGGCCTCGCTGGGATGTTAAAGGTGCGGTTCTTATACAGGTTCTTTATAAAGCTTACCTTCTAGTTGAGGAAATGACATATGTGTGCAAGTTAAATAGTCAACAACAGAAAGTGCGCCCCCAGGCAGCTTGTGAGTAAGCGCTCAACAGCTGGAGGAGACCGACGGGAAGTGCTCTAGAATCACTCCCAATGCCAGTCCACAACGTTTTCTCTACCTCAGTCACACAATACAGAAAAATGTAGTGAATTTTTCTAAAGGTAAGTGTACTGCATTGAAAGAACTGACCATTACTCTGAGATGATTATGGGTTTTGTGCTTTTTGAGTGGCAAAATGTCTTTAATAAGATAATCGTGACAGTATTTTTTTTTGTCTTTATTTTGGCAAAATAAAAAATTGACAATCCTATACTGGACTTTGTTAGTATTCTGAAAAGTTTTATTGGCCTGTTAAATCCCCCAAACTAAAAACTGCTGCTTTCAGGGCAAACAGGGTTATATCTAGCAGGATGGACAAAAGGGGTTCTTTGGCCGAGGGGGATAAACCAGGTAGGATTTTGGTAATCAGACTGGATGCAGATGGACATCCTATATTAAGTCTCGGCACCTCTTTGTTGTGTTGAATTTAATTGTACTCTGTGTGGAGATGGTGTGAACAAAGCTGCAAGGTGACAGTGGGGATGGCTTGCTTGGAGTCTCCCTCCGTGGAGAGTGTGTATAGGTGATTATTCAGAAATAAGCTTGAAGAGTAAAATTGGGACAGATTATGGGACAGTCTTGAATGTCCTAGTAAGGAGATAGACCTTAGAGAAATGGACAGCATTTTAATGGGCAGTTCTAAAGCAGAAAAGTACCATGAAAGAGTATTACTTTTTAAAAATTTTTTTGAGGAAGATTAGCCCTGAGCTAACTACTGCCAATCTTCCTCTTTTTGTTGAGGAAGACTGGCCCTGAGCTAACATCCATGCCCATCTTCCTCTACTTTATACGTGGGACGCCTACCACAGCATGGTGTTTGCCAAGAGGTGCCATGTCCACACCCGGGATCCGAACTGGCGAACCCAGGCCACCAAGAAGTGGAACGTGCGAACTTAACCACTGCGCCACCGGGCTGGCCCCAATAGAATTACTTTTAAAAGATTAAGCTTAACATAATCCGTAGACTTTGTATGATAATGTTGTGCCCCCATAGGTTCATCAATTGTAACAAATGTATCACTCTGGTGTGAGGTGTCTATAGCGGGAGGAGTTGTGCCTATGTAGGGGTAGGGGATCTATGGGAACTCCCTGTACCTTCCATTCAATTTCTCTGTGAACTGAAAATACTCTGAAAAATAAAGTCTATTAAAAAATAGAAAAGATTAATCTGGCAGCTGAGTGAAAATGGTTGGGGGTGGGGAAGATCCTGTTTGGAGAGCACTGAAGGTGCTGTGGTTTGGGGAGTCTTCTTCAAGACAAGGAATATAAAGTCACAAATATAAAATCAGGTACAAACACTGGAGCGAGGTCTGAATACGCAAGCAAGGCATCCTGGAGTTTAGGATTGATTAGCTAAATGATCAATCCACTTCTGGAAGGAAGCGACTCTCAAGGCAGAAAACCCAGTCAGGAGCAATTGTCATACTCCAGATCAAAGAAGAGGGGCCAGAGAACAAAGTATGAGCAAAGAAAATGGAAAACAGAGAATGAGTTTGGGCATTAACAGGAAGGAAAACTCACAGCGCTCGTGATTAACGGGATCTGAGGGGAGGGAGGGATCCGAAGAGGTGACCCTCAGGTTTGGCCAGGTGGGTGATAATTGCACTGCAGTCAGAAATCGGGAAATCAGGGCAGAAAACTGGGGGTGTGTTGCCTTCAGGTTGATGGCAGCATTGCCCCAAGGAGGTGGGAGTCAGCTGACAATCTTTTCTGAGCGCCAGGCCCAGGGCGGGGCCCAGCATCCTGATGGAAGTCAGGTGCATGAAGGAGATTTCCAAGCCAGAGAATCTGAAGAGTGTAGCGTCCTAGATAGGATAAAACTTTCAATCCTGTGACATTTGAATTCTGTCCTCCCACTGGCCCCAAGAAGTCTTAGAGGAATAGAAAATTGTATTATTTGCTCCAAGAATCTGAATAAAGACAGGAAGCAGTGGTTGCTGGTTGCCTTTTCCGGGAGTAACCCAGAGGATGTTTACAGGAAAGATTCCTGTCTGCCCTTTGACTGGTAGAGCTTTTAGACTAGAAATAGGGCCTCCAGAGTAGAAGTCCTGGGGGGACAGAGCAGATACAGATAGTACATAAAACCAAAATGGAACCGCCCAAGAGACGAAGCACCCTTGCACATCCCTCAAAAAGAAAGGAAAAAAGTCTGGGAGGGGTGGAGAGTCGTCCTCAACGTCGGCTTACATCTCAGTGCCTTTTGCTCCCCTCTTCAGCCTCGCTCTTTTCATTCCCTGCTTTCCTAAATTTCCTTCCACCTACTAAACAAGGATATTAAATGGAGGTGGGGACAGGAAAAGCCTGTGCAATAAATATTTTCCCCAAATCATAGGTTATTTTAAAAGACCAGCCATCATTGTTATTATTACAGTTACATCAGGTGAAATTATAGTATTTAGCAAGAACACACCTAATTTAACATGGGCCAGAGTCGAGTTTGGCCTCCCTTAGTGCTCAGTGGGCTGCAGAGTTGGCCTCAAATGCCAGGGTACAAATCTCTGCCTCTCCCGCCCTAGAGGGTTCCCTGATCAAGGGATCCAGTTTCCTCATCTGATAAGCGGAGATAACAATAGAACGATCTCACAGCATTGTTGTGAGGACTACCTGAGGTGACCACGGAGAGGACTCAGCAGAGTGAAAGGCAGTGAGGACAGAGGCAGATCCAGATTTGGTGGAGCCTGAAGATTATACAACTTTGGGGGGCCCTCTTTAATAACAGGAAGATAGATCTTTTGCAAGTTTGATATGAATATATGACCCTGTGAACACATTGCTGAGGCCCTCCCAGGGTCTGGGAAGGGCTTGTTATGGTGAGAGATCCTGAAGCTTAAGCTTCATCAGCTTCAAGGCCAACCAACCTCTGAATAAATGTTCAAAATACGTGTTAACCTTTGCTGCTACTTACTTATTTGAAAAATGTTTACGAAGCACTGACTATGTGCCAGGCTGTGAGCTCCCACTAGGTGTTGGGGGTGTTACGCATGTGGAAGTTCTATACCCTAGGTAAAGGGAAGGTCATTAAATATCAAAGCAAATCAAACTCCTTATCTAAAGAATGCGGTTTGATTTGACAAAGTATCCAAAAGCTGATAAACCACTGCCAAGCACTTTGCAGAGCTCTTTAACAGGAACACGGGGCCAGTGGACTAGATGAGCTATTTGTGATCGTTATTTTTATTTTTTTTCCGTTTTTAAAAATTGTGGTAAAATATGAATAACATAAAATTTACTATTTTAACCATTTTTAAGTGTTCAATTCAGTGGTGTTAACGCATCCATATTGTTTTGCAACCGTCACCACTATCCATCTCTAGAACTCTTTTTATCTTGCAAAACTGAAACTCTGTACCCGTTAAACACTAACTCTCTATTTTCCCCTTCCCAGAGACCTTGGCAGCTACCATCCTACTTTCTGTCTCTATGATTTTGACTATTTAGAGTAGCCAAATACTGTCAGAGTAGATCCATAAGTATCCACTTACAGAGTGCCTCATAGAAGTGGAATCATATCCTATTTGTCTTTTTGTGACTGGCTTATTTCACTTAGCATAATGTCCTCAAGTTTCACCCATGTTATAGTATGTGCTAGACTTGCCTTCCTTTTTAAAGGCTGAATAGTATTCCAGCGTATTATGCACTACATTTTGCTTATTCACCCATCTGTCGATAGCCACTTGGTTTGCTTCTATGTTTTTGCTATTGTGAGTCATGCTGCTGTGAGCACGGGTGTACCAGTGGACACTGTTTTTCTGTTGCTTTAGAACATTTGCATCCCCATAATCACTGGTTAGAATGTACTTAGATTATTGCTTTCCTTCACTCACATGTGAATTAAATAAAGCAGTCAAACATCCATGAGCCGGTAGTCAAACGTAAGTTCTTCCTCACGGATGACCCCATATCTCACTGCCGTGGACAAGGACAGTGGGTCAGTGGAGCACTGATCTAGAACTTAGGAGATCTGGGCCCTGGTGAGGCAATGCAGTGGGTGTTAGCTACTCATGTGACATCAGGGCAACTCCTTTCATCTTGTTGGGCCTCAGTTTCCTCATCTGTCTTGTGAGTGATTTGGACTAGGGTTTTCTTTCTAGGGTGATCACTCAGCCCACGTCTTAGGAAATCCTTCATTCTTGGGCAAACTTCAGTAGGTACTCAAATCTGACACCAGATTTTTAAAAATGTGCTAGATTAAATGGCATGAGGCTGTTTACTCCCCCATTCCCGCCCCCAGAAAATATCAAAAGGTAATTCAGCAGCCAAGTCCAACTGGGACAAAATTCCAAATGTGTAATTTTTAACAGGGCTTTTGGGAAAGAGTTGATTTCAGATCCTGTTAAGAAGTCATCCCTCACAAATGTTCTGGTTAGGGAGGTTTGTATGTTAACGATTAGACAGGAGCTGTTAATCTCAGCTGAGCAGCTTGAAATATTTCCTACTTTTAATAAATAGTTTGGCTTCTCATGGAACCAGGTGTAAGACAGGTAGGATTTTTTTTCTCCCTCAAAGCGCACACATCTATGCCAAGGGGGAAAAACAAAACAAAAAATGTCAAGGGGGAAAACAAAACAAAAAACAGCAACAACAAACAAACAAAACTAAACTAGGATGTGCTCCTTGTCTGATCCACAACTGAAAGGAAAGCTTAACCTGGAATACGTTCAAACTTCCCCTCTCTTACACAGAAACGTGCTGATGTGTGTGCCTGAAGCCCCAGATGAGCCCCCTTTCCTGGGGAGGAGTCAGCCAGAATCCAACTACCACAAGCAAACAGGCAGCGCTGGTGTGAACCATGCCGATGAAAATTCAGGTACTGTTAACTTCCAGGAGTGAAATGGAGTCCTGGTTGATTTGGGCAAAAGCAGCACATCAGCTCACTTCTGTCGGTTGCATACTGTTAGATTATTTGCAAATTCAATCTTAAACCCTCGGGCAGGGGCCAGCCTGGTGGCGCGACAGTTAAGTGCGCAGGTTCCGCTTTTCGGCAGCCCGGGGGCAGCCCGGGGTTTGCCACTTCGGATCCCGGGTGGGGACATGGCACCGCTTGGCAAAAAGCCATGCTGTGGTAGGCCTCCCACGTATAAAATAGAGGAAGATGGGCATGGATGTTAGCTCAGGGCCAGTCTTCCTCAGCAAAAAGAGGAAGGTTGGCAGTAGTTAGCTCAGGGCTAATCTTCCTCAAAAAAAAAAAAACAAAACCCATGGGCAGTTAGAGTGCATGACTGATTTGTTTGGGTGTTGACGTACAGCCTAATAGGCAATCTTAGGCCTACACATACAACCTTCTCCCTACAGGGACACAGAAATGAAAAGAAAAGACAATTCCCCATATCAATTGTTATTCCCTGAGACAATGGTTTAGTGACCCCTTTTTAAGGTCTGTCATAACCTATGTTTGTAGATCAAGTTATATTTTATAAAACCTTTCCACACATACATCATTCAAACTTCATACATTAAGATAATGTACCTAAGATAAGATATTATTACCTCCATTTTTTGAATGCACAAATGGAAGCCCAGAAATGTTGGGAGTCTTGCCCACAGATACAAAACTGGTAAGTGGCAGAGCTTGGCTCAAACTTACATCTTCTGAATCAAAATCAGGACTCTTCATTAAAATGCTAAGCAAGGGGCCAGCCCCGGGGCAGACTGGTTAAGTTCCTGTGCTCTGCCCAGGGTTTGTCCCTTCTCTGACCACCATATGGCCCAGGGTTTCACTGGTTTGGATCCTGGGCGCGGACATGGCACCACTCATCAAGCCATGCTGAGGTGGTGTCCTACATAGCACAACCAAAGGCACCTGCAGCTAGAATATACAACCATGTACTGGGGATTTTGGAAAGAAGAAGAAGAAAAAAAAACGATTGGCAACAGATGCTAGCTCAGAGCCAATCTTAAAAAAAAAGCAAAGCAAACTGTGTTTTACTTTTTTAATATTCCTTCTAGCATTTTTGCTAATCTTTCTCATACTATTGATAGCATCTAAAGATAATGATTAACAGAAGTTTAGAGAGTGTTAAAAGAGAAGGTCAAAAACAATTATGGGTAACACCTACATTTAAAGGACCAGCAAGAGAAGCCAGCAAAGGGGTTCCATATGGTGGTCAGAGAAGGGACAGAGAAGGGCCACAGGAGGCGAGAGGAAACTTCGTCTGTAAGGGGAGTAATTGACAACAACTCCTGGGTTTGATGCTCAGGGAGCTGCTGATGGCCTCAGGAAGCACAATTTCACAGAGCCAGAGTCTCGGGTTCCGTTAACCCAAATACTCACCCTCATCCCTGACAAACTCCCCAGATGTTCACTGCTTGCCCACTCCAGTGACATGGATGAGTGGCTCTCTGAGGGGGCCTTTGCACTTTTTGCATGTCATACCTTTGACTCCCTGGGAGTTCCTTCTTAAACAGAGTGCCTACCTTGCACCAGGCACTGTTCTAAGTGTTGGGAATGAAAGCAGTAAACAAAATGCTCAAACTCTCTGCCTCATAAACTTACCTTCTAGCGGGGAGTATACTTTCAACCACAAGAAGGGTAATGTCAGATGGTAAGAAGTGTTGTGAAGAAAACTTAAGCAATGGGGTGATGGTGGGGAGGAAGAGGGGTGTGTGTCTTGTATTAGGTAGTCAGGCGAGTTATCTCTGATATGACATCGTTTAGGAAGAGGCCCTAAGGGACTGAAGAGGCAAGCCATGTGAATAGACAGCTAGAGGGAAGAGCATGTCGGGCAGAGAGTGCAAAGGCCCTGGGGCAAGGAATGGCAGGAAGAGGAAGACAGGAGGTGAAATCCGGGAGGGATGGGAGCAGGGTAATATGAGTGCATCACTGTAAGGCCTTGAAAGGCATGGTCAGCGCTGCCTCACCAAAGTTTTTGTTCAGAGCAACAGGAAAAATGAAGCTGACATTTACTGAGATGGGAAAGTCTGAGGGAGGTGCAGGTTTAGGGGGAAAGATCAGGAGCTGAGGTTTTGACATATATTAGGTTTTACATGCTTGTTAGACATCCAAGAGGATATGTTGAGGAGGAGAATGAAATCTTCAAGGGGGAAGCCCAGGTTATCACCATATAGATGGTATGTAAAGCCACAGACCAAATGGAGTGTAGATGGAGAAAGGATGATGTCTGAGGACTGAGCGCCTGGCACTCTCCCATTTAGTATTCAGGAAGCTATAGCTTTCAGCAAAGATCGAGAAGGAGCAGCCAGTGAGCTTGAAGCACCTAGAGAGAATGATGCCTTAGAAATTAATGAAGCAAATTGTTTAAAGAAGGAGAGTGGGATCGGATTTGTATGATGTTAATAGGTCAAGCAAAATGAGGACCAAGAACTGGCCATTGGATCGGGCAACATGGATTTCATTGGTTATCTTGACACTGGAGTGAGGGGGAAGAGGAATGATGGGGAGGAAAGCCCAAGTGGAGTATGTTCAAGAAAAAATGAGGAAAGAGGAAGTGGACACAGTAAGTATAACAACTTTTTCAAGCAATTTTGTCCAAAAGAGAATCAGAGGAATGAGGCAGTAGCTGGAAGGGGATATGGAGTGAGAGGAAAGTGTGTTTGTTTGTTAAAGATGGGAGATATTATAGCACGTTTGCACGTTTATCTGAATAAGTCACTAGAGAGAGAGAGAAATTGATGATGCAGGAGAGAGGAGGATTGCAAGAGCAAGGTCCTTGCGTAGGGGAAGGGGGAGAGATCCCAGATGTAGGTGAGGGTCAGTTTTGGAGAGGAACATAGACAGTTACAGAAGGAGCCTTACAACAGGAGGGAAGTAGAACATAAGGGTACGCATGCAGACATTTGATAGACTCAGCGGTACGTCTGCGGAAGCTCTCTTACCATGCTTTTATTTTCTAAGTAAAATAAGAAGCAAGCCCAGCAGTTGGAAGTGAGGAGGCTTGAGAAGAGAGGAGAATCAGTGGAAAACTGTCTTCAGAGAATGGGAGAGTGAGTTGACTGAGGAACCTGGCTGGATTGCCTGGCGGCACAGAGGGTTTGAAGTCACTTAAGATTTGATGCTATTGTTGAGTCATTATGATCAAACCACCAAACTCTGGGCCTCCCTTTGCCCCGAACCCTCACATGTGGTCTCCTTTAAAACATAGCATCTGCTATTTTATTTGATCTACAAACGTTTGTGTCACCCTTAATCAAGTCCCAGGTGAGTAGGTGCAGTCAGGGCACGTTCTCTCCAGGGTCAGGCTTGGAGGCGGGTAGGGAGGAGAGAGAGAGAGGGAAGGAAAGATGGACTCCATGGGGACCTTGAGGCCTCAGCCCTATGAACAGAGGGAAATCAATATTCTTTGAAGACAGAAGCTCCCTTCAGGAGGGAGAGAAGAAATAACTGGAATGTGGCTTTGATTTAAGAACTAAATGAACTTCCATACACTGAACCCGAGAATTAGACAGGCCTACCCACCCAAGCCCAAGCTTCAATGGACCACTGCAGACCTCCCCAAGGGGCCTACCTAAAACTTACAGCATGGAGGAGAAAGGTCAGAAAATAAGTGTTTGTGTGTGTTTGTGTGTGTGTGTCCCTGTAGGTAGCTCATTGCCAAGAAGAGAGAAACAAGGAAGGTGTTTTCACCTGATGTAGGTGGAGTTTCTCCCTCCAAAGTCATCAATCAGGTACATCATTCTACCTGGCAGGGGTGGAGTGGGGAAGGGCAAGTGGGAGAGAAGGAGGCCAGGAGTGTGACACTAATTCATGTCTCCCACACAGAAGGAAACAGCAGGAATGGGGAAGGAAGTTTCCCTCCTTATAGTCATGAATTGAAAGAGAGGTCTTGGACCATGAGAGGCTGCCCAGTCCCACGCCTTGGCCTTGAGCCCCTCTTCAGCCCTGAAGCAAGCACTGGATAGATGAGAGGGAGTGAGGAATTTGAGGGTACGAACAAGGAATTGATTACCATGTTGGCCTATGTAATCTGAGCTAGCTAACAAGGGAAGTGAGATAGTGAAAAGGAGGTAGGACCAATCAATTGGAGGCCCAAGGGAGGTCAAAGAATGGGTTGGATTTGAGGTTGCAAAGGGAACGTACTAGAAAGGTCACAGCCTTTCATATATTTGAGAATCATTATTATGGCCCTCTTGAGTCTTTCTGCTGAATTAAACATACCCCGTTCCTTCACTGGTCCTCATATAAGAATGTTACACGTATATTTATAAACAGTGTGTTTGCTTTCTACTGAGCATGCTGCAGCTTGTTCTTTGAAAGGGCGGCACCTGGAGACCACTACAAGACTCCATCAAGGGGAAGTAGGCAAGGAGCCAGTCTCCCCTAGTCATGGACACCCTCCCTCAACTGGCGCAGTAAGCCATGCACCTCCTTCCTCTTTCAGTGTTTCCCTCCCCTGCTAACTCACCTTGAGCTCTCTGGCTACTACAACCCCCACGTCTTTCTTGTTCAAGTGCTGCTACCAGGCAAGAGCACTGCCACCCCATCCCTGGGCAGTTGGGTCTTGTGGACCTCATGTGTATATCTACCCAAATTCAATAGCAAAGATTGGAGGAGTGGTTTGTTTATGGGTCATTTCCACTCTTACTAAAATTCTTACTTAATGACATTTTTATCCATTTCTTGATCATCCAGCGTTGGTCTCAGAAGTTTTTGGTAGTGAAGGGAAGTATATAATTTATTTGTATCTACTTATTCAGTGACAACTAATATTTATTAAGAACCTTATAAAAGGTCAGTACTGGTATACAGCAGTAGACAAACCAGACATGGCCCCTGCCTACACGGCGTATGCAGTGCAGAATCAGAAGGAGGTCCTTTTGGTTTGTGTTTTTGCATAAGGGAGATAACTTTCCTAGAGTCACTAACTTTCTATAGGAGTTTCTTCTTTTCCCCTCTAGTTATAACAGAGGAATTGACCTTTATCCCTACAAAAGCCAGTCTCTACTTCTACTTTGGGGCTCATCCCCTCTTATCTACTTCCTCTCTCCTGCATCCTCCATTGCTCTCTCTCTACTAGGTGATTCCCTTCGTACATGCATCTGCTCAAATATTTCTCACCTTCAAAAACCCTTTCCTTGACCCACATTCTCCCCTCCAGCTACTGCTCTATTCCTTCATATTCCTTCAGGAGAAAAGTCCTTGAAAAAATATCCTCTTTGCATGGTGTATCTGAGGCTGGAAAAAGCATGGATGTTTTCGGAACAGCTATGAGTGTCATGGCAGAGAGCTGATACGTGATGAACAGCACTTTCCAGAGTGGTAGGCACTGAGATCAAAGCCCTCTGCAAATATTTTGATAGGAGGCAGCTGTGTTACACAGCAAAGCGGCACTGCTCTCCCCTCAGAGGACTTTGCCGAATTCTGGTTCGACCATTCTCTAGCTGACGTGACCCTGGTCAAATTACTTAGCTTCTTTGAGCCTCAGTTTCCTCATCTCTCAAATGGAAGTAGAGATATCTGTCTCATAAGTTCGTTGTAACAATGAAATAGGACACCTGACATACATACAATAGTATTATTGCATGGTCATATTTCTCCATTTGAAAGACAGGAGCTCACCCCAGTTGGAATATGAGTTCCTCCCGAATCAGAGCCTGAGCCAAGGCTTGCACCCACAATTCCCTTGCTGTACATTTGGTACTGTGATCCTAGAGAGCAGGACTGGGGAGGAGGAGAAGTGAAACAGGGAGGGAAGGAAGGCCAGTGACAGTATGTGTCACTAAGCTGGTCAGGATGGTGGGTGACGAGTGCTTGATCCCACGTGACATTCTGAGGAGCCTAATGAAATGTATCTCAGAACTGTCCACTCAGGGGACTAAAAGGGAAGCATTTATGCAGAGATTCCCGTCTCTATGGATCAAGGGTGGCCCGCTGGGCATTAACTCCCCATCTTCAGGGCTTTACACACATGAGTGCCAAGTGGTCCACAGGCGAAGAAGTGACAGGTAAAGGCTGCAGGATGGAGAAAGGCCAAGCCAGGCTGCACCTTTGAAACTTACGTCCAATGGGCTCCAGCAGCATTGGCTGGAATGAGAGGTGGGATCAGGAGGCTTTGAAATACAGCTCCATCTGAAGAAAGAAAAACAGAGAAGAAGATGACATGACTTGGCTTTCATATTTCTAGCAAGCACTATATACCATCTCTTTGTAGAAGAGGAGAGCACACCTTAGACATTAGTTTTCCATCCTATTTTTCGAGACCCTATGTGTCTCTCTGGAATTAAGAAATGTAATCCCCGAATGGCGCACCTGGCTTTTTGTAACAGATTATAATTAGAGACAATATGGCCCAATTGAAAGAAACCCAAACCAAGATCTTAGGTAAACTCTTAATTCCCCTCGTGAAGCAGGGGCAGGGTTGGGGGTGGGGCATAAATTGCTGCCACTACCATCCTTTCTCCCCATATTCTACCAGTTTGCAGTGGGGGAGGGGAGTTCATCATACAACCTATATGAAAATGTTTTATAAACTAGGAAGGATTATTATCATTTGGGTATTTTAAAGCCTTGATTACTAAAGTCCATTTTTTGAAGGTATTCTATCATAATCAAAATAGTCCAAGTTCAAACAAGTCAATAGGCCTAGAGTACGTACTTTGTGCAAAGCCCTGTGTAACCCCCTCAGGATTCAAACATACATAAAGACGAAGGACATAAAGAGTAATGTTTGCTCTTAAGTACTACTAGTGAGTACTACTATTACAGGAAGAAAAAATAGCAGCATCAATGCTAAACGGAACTGTTCAGAAACAAATGTCCTATAAACGTTGAAAATGTGTATGTGGTGTCCAGCAGCTAAAACAATTGAAACAATTAAACAACTTATTGTGTCTTTCTCTAATCTCTCCAATCTAGCATTTGTTTAATTGGGGGTAAAGACTGGCAATTCTTCTTAAAGTGATTTTGCCTAGGACAGTTATTTAAAATTACACTCCGAAGTTCAGGAGCCCTTTTCCCTTCAAAATGATTTTACAACAATTAAATACACAAGTACAAGATTCCACGGCAGCAAGAACTAATGAATATGATCAGGAATCAGGAGAACCTTGGTCATTTATTTATTCATTCAATGATTATTTATTACACACCAACTGTATGCCAGGCACTGTGTTAAGTGCTGGGTGGGTATAGAGTAGGGAACAAAACAGGTGGTTACTGTCCTCATGAGAATGATTTGGATCATCCAGGGAGGGAGTAGACAGTGAGAAAGGAAAGGACTCAGGATCAGCCCCAAGGCACTCCAACATGTAGGAGTCAGGGGGCCCACAAATGAGAAGCCACCAAGGGAGACTGAGAAGGAGTAAGCAGAGGAGCAAAGGGAGAGAGTGTGCTCTCATAGAAGCCCAGAAAGGAGAGCACGAGGAAGGACGGAGTAGCCCCCTCAGCATAGAATATCGCTGAGACATCAAACAAGGGGACGGGCTGCCAGAGATCTCTCCACGTGGAAGTTATTGATGATATAACCGGAGCTGTGGTAGAAGGCTGGGCACAACCAGAGTGGAGCGGGTTGAGAAGTGGCTAGGAAGTGCGGAGGTGGGCAAATGCTCTTTCACAAACCTGAGTCAAGGAGACGACAGCTGGATTGACTTGTGAAGCTCAGGGAGAATTTTTAGAGTATGTTTGGAAGCTGATGAAAAGAATTTCTGAGAGTAATACTATTAAAATCACTTTTTTAAAAATGCAACTCCCAGTAAGAAATATATTTTACACTGTGACTCAGTATGTGTTCTGCACACACACAATTGAAATAAATGTTTCAGGAAACAATAGTTTAATAAAATGGTATTTGCCTTTAGTACATGTGATAGACTTGATAATTTCTATCTTCTTCTATTTCATTTTTAGTTAAATTTTAAAAGTATACTAGATCAAATGCTTAGTGTAATAAATTCAAGCAAGGCAGAGGAGGTACAGTAAAAGCTAAAATTCCTCCTTCATGCCTGCCATCTTTCTAAATCCCATTTCCCAGCTCGAAGGAGTGTTGGGAATTAATAATTTGGTGTGCGTCCTTTGAAAGCATTGTCTATGCATTGACATACATAAGCACACACACATACACAGTTGTTTATTTTTGGTTTTGTTTTTTGCAAATGTAATCACACATACTCTATTTTTCCTCAACTTGATTTTTTTTCTCTCTCTCTTGAAGGTATTTTTATGTCAATACATTATTATCCACTGCATTCTTTAGGAAGGTTTGTAGACTTCTGTAGAATGACTATACTACGATTTATTCAAGGCATTCCTCTAGCGTAGGATGGTGAGATTGTTTCTAATTTTTTTAGTTTCAAACAGTGCTACAATGAACATCTGTGTACATATATGAATATTTTTAAAGAAGAGAATAAACAGGATCATTTTGATAGATATTACCAGATTGACTTGTGCGTGTGAGGAAGCTTGTCACTGAGCTAACATCTGTGCCCATCTTCCTCTATTTTATGTGGGACGCTGCCACAGCATGGCTTGATGAGCAGTGCTAGGTCTGCACCCAGGACCCGATCCCAGGGCCACCAAAGTGGAGCTCGTGAACTTAACCACTACACGACCAGGCCAGTAGCCTAGGTTGACTTTCTTAAAGGCCAGGTCAGTGTGTATGCCCAATGATAGCCAATTTGTAAAATTTTTTGTTTATTTCTTGGTTTTAAGTCTTGCTTTCTAAGGCCTTTCCCATTATGAAAATTATAAACACTCCCCTATTTTTCCATTTAGTACTTTTATAATTTTATTTTGTATAGAACATACAGTTTTTTGTTTTTTTTTTTTTGAGGAAGATTAGCCCTGAGCTAACTGCTGCCAATCCTCCTCTTTTTGCTAAGGAAGACTGGCCCTGAGCTAACATCCCTGCCCATCTTCCTCTATTTTATATGTGGGATGCCTGCGACAGCATGGCTTGACAAGTGGTGCATAGGTCCATGCAAGGGATGCAAACCGGCGGACCCCAGGCCATAGAAGTGGAACGTGTGAACTTAACCACTGCACCACTGGGCCAGCCCCTACAGCTTTTTAAATACAGTCAATTTTTTTTGAATTGTTGAGAAGTGAATATAAAACTATTTTTTCCCAAATAAGTAGCCAATTTTTCCAACACCATTTGTTGAATATTCTATCCTTTCCCAGTGTTTTGAAATACTACCTTTATCTTACCTTATATTCTTATACGTGGTCTCTGGTCTGTGCCATTGATGTATTATCTATACCAGAAACAACTCCACATTATTTAATTATGATAGTTTCTTTGATAACTGGGAGGGCAATATTGCCCCTGTTGTTTTTGTTTTTCTCATTTTCTTGGTTATTCTTGTGTATTTACTTGTGAGGACAACCTTCGTAATCACTTTCTGTTCCGTTATAAAATCTCTTTAGGGTTTTGGTCATGACTTGCTTATATTTTCCATATGAAATGTTATCCAAAGTCATCCATTTACAATAAGGCGTGGAGGAGAAGATCAGATGTTTGAAGAGAGTGAAGGTAGGACATAA